AAAAAAAAAATAAATATTAGAAATCAACGCGATTTTAAACCACTTCAAACTTTCCCATTATTATAGTAAAATTGAATGGAGCAGTCTTATCGAAGGATTCAATTTCTTAGCAAACCCAACAGTATTTTGGAACGGTTTGAGAAACGCTGCTCTGGAGGTTGTTTCTGTTGATTATGTTATTCAATCGTTTTTTATTAAATTGTTTATTCTATATTCACTTATAAACAGCAAAATATATTTGTACTAATATGTTAAAACAAATATTTTATGTATTTAATAGATGTATCTACCAAACGCAAAAGCATTCCCAACTCTTTGTCTGCGTCTATGCAAAATGCGGACGTACAGAGTAGCACACCAGAAACTGGCGTACAAAAGCGTCGCGGACGCCCGCCGAAAAATAAAGCACCCTTGGCACAAACTAAAAACAAAATAACTGTTGTTGGCAAAAATCTAGATCAACAGAAGTATAAATCGCTAGAAGATGTAACCAAAGAGTTGGAAAAGAACGATGCTGTTAGGAGAGCAAATCTTAGTAATGCTACAAATTGGAAAGAGTATAAAGCCACCTTAAACCGTGTCAGTAATTCAGCGAAGGCTAGCCAAATCATGGCGAGTAGAGTGCAAAAACCACTTCAACAGGAGAAAAAATCCACATTTCAGAATGAAGATGTAATTTTAGAGATATCGTCAACTTCATCTGCATCTGATCATGAAATTCAGCAAAAGGCAACGACTTCAACGGCTAATGCACAAGAATCACCGCCGCGAAATTTCGCATCTGTATGTATTTTACAAGAAAGTCCAAGTGTGTGCGAAGTTACTGATGCAGAAGAATTTATTGTTGCCGCTGTTGAAGAAATAACAACTGAAAATTCTCAATCGGCCAAGTCCATATCTTTAGAACCCGGAGACATTACTACAAGTGCACAAGACGTAGCTAATGTAGTAGTCGGAGATGAACAGAATACTATAAATATCAACTTGAATATGGATATTAGTAAAGAAACAGAAATTGCATCAAGTTCATTCTCAGAAGTGACATATAGAGAATCATATGGCAGTCGCAAATCGAGCGGTTCAGAATCGGAAAGTGGCTCCGATCGCAGTAATAAAAGCTATAAAAAAGGCGATAAACTGCGCATTTCGGTGAAGCGTCTAACAATGCCGCAAGATGAGTGCGTTTCAACCATATCACTGTCCTCAGCGTCTAACAGCTGCAGTGATATCGTAGTAGCCAGTAGCGCCAATAACAACCGCAACAACAATAGTGCCGAGAATAACGGTGCTACAAACGAATTAAATACCGTAGCAACAAGTAAAGCCCTCCCCACAAGACGATCTCATCGTATACCTAGAAGAAGTACCGCTAATAAATCTAAAAGCAGCGAATCTGATTCAGATTCAAAAATTTCTTCAAATGAGCTTCAAAGCTTTGATACAAAAATTCAGATGAAAAAGACTGAAAAAGAAACGGAGAAAACTGGTGGACTGCCAGTTGAGTTGAGTGTGCTAAAGAATGACGGTAAAACGGACATTGACTTCGAGCTATCAACCGTAGATGAAAACAACGTTACAGTTAAAGCAATTGAAAATGTTGTTGATGTGGTACAAGTTGAAGAAAATCAATTGGCGATAAAGGCAGCACAAAATTCCGCTGTTGAGGTGTCCGCTGTTCAAGTAAATGAGACCTCCCTTGCTTGTATCATCAACGTTAAAGATCTCGTAGAACGAGTCGAAGATGGGCGCAAGGAGTATGAAAAACAAGTCAGTGGCACGAGCGCATTATCACAGGTGGTTGTTCCTTCTACTTCGCATGAAACCAAGAAAGAACGAATTACTTTGCCAATAAAGAAACAAGCGAGTAAATTCAAAATGTACGAAGAAGCAGTTCATAATGTAGTGGCTAATGTCGAAACAAGCACGTTATTGGATATACTAAAGACTGTCAAACAGAATGATTTGACAATGGGAACGACCGAAGGTACGTTACAACAACAAGCTCAGGTGGCGATTCCAACAGCATGCCAGCAAATGCAATTAAAAACATTGGTTAATAAGGAAGAAAAAATTGAAACTAACTGCGCAGCGAATGAAACACATACAAGTAAAGAAATGTTGATCGACACCAAGACGTTGATTGCAAGTGAGCATCCTAGTGACACAAATGTGGATATAAAAAGTTCCAGGATACAGGAAATGTCGCCAGATAGGAAAGTGCGAATAGGCGAAAAGTTTGAAGAAACACTTGAAATCCTTCCAGTTGAAAATCCCACAGATCAGAGGCAGCTCGCTGTCGTGAAATTTGATTCTTTGAAGTATGCAATATCGGAAGTGTTGGCGGAACGTGAGTCTCCAGCCGTGCAATCGCCGGAAGGTTCAACTGCGACAGAAGCCATTCCAGACAATTCATCAGCTGAAAAATTAAAATCGCATACCGCCGACAACACAACCATTTTGTCGGATTTTTCTCAAGAAGGTTCACGTGCATCGAAAAGCTCTACAAAGGTTTGCAATGTTTTAAATCTCACTGATAACTTGGAGCCGCAGTCTATAACGAATGAGGCTGCAACTGGTCAAGTATTGGATGAGAGTAGCATGGGAGGAGTATCACCAACGACGGATTCACAGCCATCAGGCGATGAACAGGCAAAAGTTGCCACCAAAAAGACACCGTCTCCAACACCTTCAGAAAATTCCATAGGAGGTTATTCAAAAAAACCGACCCGACGATATGAGAGACGTTCACAACGGGGCGATGTATCTGCTCATAAAACGCTGGAAGAAACATTTGCTGAAATAGCTGCAGAAAGTAGCAAAGCAGTTTTAGATTTGAAAGCTAAAAAAGTAGAAGTTCCGAAAGAAAGTAGCGCAACGATAACAGACAGCCTGAGCAATGCAGTTGAACTGGAAAAAAGTGCAGAAAAAAGTAGTTCTTCTGATATTCCTGCCAATGTGGTGGATGTAAATAAATGTAAGGCCACTGATAATGCAACTTTAACTATGACTATCGAGACGAATCGAACTCTATCCCCTAAATTAGAGGAAGATAAGGTTCTCACAACAACTTCAACACAATCTAACTCATCCCCTAAATTAGAGGATGATAAGGTTCTCACAACTTCATCACAAAATATTGAGGAAGCTACAGCAAAAGTTACATTCCCAGAAATTAACTCCAAAACGGATTGCAGTTTTTCCAAACTGCTGTCAGTGCTAGATGACGGTGACAGTAATTCAAATCATTCATCTCCATCACGTCGGCGAGGCAGGCAGAGAAATAAAAAAGATAAAGATATTAATAAGTCTTCTCCAAGCATAGAAGCGACTAAAGAAGTGCCCATAGAAGGACCGAGTAATACAATTACAAACCTCGCTTCAGAGTGTAAATCTCTTTTAATACCAGCACCAGATTCACATACGGCTAGTAAGCAGAAGCTTATCAATATGGCGTCCTCTGCGCCAGAAGGCAATGTATTGAAAATAGCGGAAGCTGATTTGAGGCCGGTAAGTGTAACGCAAATCGTAGAACCGCCGGAAAGTACTCCATTGGAGGAAGAATTTGCAAATGCAGCTGAGACCGAAATCGTTTTGGAAACTGCGATCATAGCAGATATTCAGGATGACCAGGCTGAAATGGCTGAAATCACAGTGGAAACAACGGAGTTTGAAATACCAGAGAATCAGGAGAGCCAAGACGCTAATGCCTCTGCAAGCATCTCTACTGTTACATCAGGTGAAGTGTCTCCCAAAGGTACAAAGGAACGGAAAGAAAAAATTAAATCTCGTAAGCACAAAAAAGAAACAAATTCCAGCAGCAGTGAAGCTCATCAAGCTAGAAATTCTCAATTGGAGAGGCAGATGGAGGAGCTGCCGAAATCTTTGACGTCCACAGAAGACTCACCTAAAAACGCTACAGAAAATGCATTGCAAAATGAAACAAGAATTGAGCCAACTGCTACGACAAAGGAGGACAAGGCTGCTACAACATCGACAAAGGAGGACCAATCGGCCGATATTAAAATATGTGCTGACAATTGCGAAGGAAAAGCACAGAAAGCGGATGATCAAATGGTGGAACAGCGCTCACAATCCGAAACACCGCTTGCTAAGCCGAAAAAGGAGAAGAAACGAAAGAACACAAAACAATATTCCGACGATAAACTAGGCGACATAAAAGATCTCAACTCCTCCACCGAAGAGACCAAAATTCTAGAGAGTAAAGGAAAAAACAACGAAGCAGGAGATGTAGTGGGAAAAACGCGAAAACCACGAAAAGGAAAAACCGCACAGGAACCAATTAAGAAGGGTAACACTAGTGATGGTGATGCGGTTTCGGAGAGCGTAGCTGTTGAAACGGCTGAGAAAGAAATTTTAGCGAAAGCACCTCCCAAAAAACGCCTTTTGAAAATGCAAATGCAACTTGAAGAAAAGTCTGCGTCTGTTTGTTATTCTGTCAGTTCTGAGTTGGCAACTACCAGTGTGGCTGACGTTGAAACGAAATCGCCATCTGCAAAGAAAGCTGTAACTGAAACCGGCAAGACAAACGAATCATCGCATAAAAAAACGAATAAGGGCACGCAAGCGTCTGATGATAAAAAACGTACGAGTTTTGAGAGCCAACAGGAATCATCCGTGGAAGAGGAGAGCCGCTCAGCAACATCTACACCCTTAGCCAAACGGTTTAAACACCAAAAATCGTTAGAAAAAACACCAGAGGATAAAGCGAAGTCAAGCAGCAAAAGAAAACCAAAATTGGATCTATTAAGCGGTAGCGCAGAGAAATCGGATACAACGAAGCCCGAAATCAAAGATAAAGACAAACCTTTGTCGGCTTCGAAAAAATCGGAGAAGAAGAAATCTTTAGCTACTGATGAATCTGCAAGCAACGAATCGGGCCAGAAAATGGAAGACAAAAATGCGAAGAAAAAGAGACAAAAGAAACTCAAGGAAGCATTTGAGGCTGCTCTAAAAGATGCTTTACTTAAATCTGAAGATCATGCCGATTCCTCTAAAAACATTGTCAACGCTGCAGCAATTGACGTTCCATCGATTACGGAAGAACGGGTAGAGCAGTCGCCGCCTGCTGCAACTGCTGTTGCAGCAGACCAACAAGTTTCAACTGCGGAAACTGTTGATAATCAACCACCTGAACCAATTATTGCCAACGAGCCAGAGGAGGAACCGGATCCATTAAAAGATATTGAGAAGTTTATCGAAGATGGTGTAAACCTGCTTAAGCGCGGTTATAAGATCGAAGATGACAGTGTCGATGAAGTTATTTGTCCGAAGACCATTACAAAACAAGATGATTTCAATTCTGAAATGACAAAGCAAGTAGAAGAAGCAACAGCCGCTTCAAATTCTCCAGTTGTGGAGGGTATGATAACACCCAATGAAAGCATATCTGGCGAGGTAACACCGCCTGATAAATCTTTTGAAGAACCACATTCTGCCCAGAGTCTAAATATTTATTATGAAACGCCAGCTGATACCCCAGTTTCTACACCAACAACAACGCCACCACCAAAGAGTCCTTCGTATGATTCATCATTTGATGAAATATCTGGTGTGCGACGTTCACATCGCATTAAACTAATAACTAAGACACCAAAAGCACTTGTGGGTCGCGGCTTGGTGCGCGAGAAGGAACGTTTTTCCATAAAAGACGATGTAGAAATGAAGACACATTATAGTCTGGATGATCACCTTACGGATTTGGCGCAAGTAGAGGCAAAGAATGCAAAATTCCTAAAAGAAATGGAAGAGCGCTTGAGCAATTTTCACGTTATTAAAGAGAATGAGTACAAGTGCGAGCGTGTGATAAGTAGAGAAGCACGTAAAATGGTGTGCGATTGTTTTTTAACATCCGAGGAGGAAGTGCGCGGCGAATTGGGATGTGGCGAAGATTGTTTGAATCGTCTGCTTATGATAGAGTGCGGTCCTGATTGCAATGTAAAAGATCGTTGTACAAATAAACGCTTTCAGAAACTTCTATGTTCGCCGTGTCGTGTTTTTCGAACCGAAAAGAAAGGATTCGGCATAATGGCTGACATTGAAATATTACCGGGGGAATTTATTATGGAATATGTCGGTGAGGTGATTAATGGCGATGAGTTTGAACGGCGACGTATTGTCTATTCACAGGATAAGAACCGTCACTATTATTTTATGGCATTGCGTAGCGATGCTATAATAGATGCTACAATAAAAGGTAACATCTCTCGCTTTATTAATCATTCTTGCGACCCAAACGCGGAGACCCAAAAATGGACTGTGAACGGTGAACTGCGTATAGGTTTCTTTAGCCGGAAGTCCATTATGCCAGGTGAGGAAATAACATTCGACTATCAGTACCAACGTTATGGAAGAGAGGCCCAACGCTGTTATTGTGAATCGGCAAACTGCCGCGGCTGGATAGGTGAAGAGCCCAACTCGGACGAGGGTGAACAAATCGACGATGACAGTGACGCCGATAATTTAGCGGATGGCAGCGACGAAGACGAGAGCGATGATAGCATTGGTGATGGCGAAGATGCACATAAGAAATTAGACGCCGATGGAACTGCAAACAAATCAGCATTTGGTGGTGAAGATGACAAATTAAAGTTGGAAGAGAAACTGGATGGCTCGGGAAAAGAAAAGAAGAAAAAAGAAGAAGAGGATGATGATACGAAGATTAAGTTGAAAAAATTGTCTGGCAAGTCCATGGATAAGGCGTCTCGCAAAAAGAAACAAAATAAAGAAAAGAAAGAGAAGAGGCTGCGCAAAGCAGTTTCAGGCAAACCAAGTAAAACTTCCCGCTATTTGGAAGATCCAGACATCGAAGACGAAGTCAAGTTCCTTAGTCGTGGTGGGCTACGAAACCAGTCAGATACATTGCGGTTTTCGCGTTTGGTTGTCCGCGCTAAATTGCCACAGACACGTCTCAATCTGCTGAAAATCCTGCGCAACGCCGAAGTGCCTTGCCGCCGGCTATTTTTGGACTACCATGGCCTTCGATTGCTGCATGGTTGGATGTGCGAAGACGGTGGTGATATGGCTATACGTCTGTCGCTCCTAGAGGCATTGGAGAGTTTGCCCATAGCGAATAAGACTGTACTCACTGATAGTAAAGTTTATCAGAGTGTACGAAATTGGTGCGGCAATTCGGTGCCAGACAATAGCGGCCCGGCTGGCAATACCTCGTCACCAAGCGACGAGTCATCTAAGGAAAGCTCAAGTAGCAACTCGCAACCAGAAATTGTCAGTGGTCAGGAAGTACCTTCAGAACTACAAAAATTGGCTATTAAATTAACCACTGTGTGGAATAGTTTGCCAGAAATCTTCCGCATACCCAAACGTGAACGCATCGAGCAAATGAAAGAGCATGAGCGGGAGGCGGATCGACAATTTGCTGAAGCATCTGTCGACAACAGTCGATCTGTGCTAAGCGATCGTTATCAGCGTGATCGATTTGGACGTGGTCCGACTACTTCTCGTTACACGAAACCAAGTTTTAGCAAAGATAACCGAAACGGTAACATATCCACTGTTGGCTCAATGTCGGTGAACGATCCACGGCGACGTACTACAGCAGATAGCAATAACGTAAGCAACGACAACATGAAGCACTTGTCGAAAGAGCAACGGCGTGAGATGTTTGCAGCTAAGGTAAGGAAGAGTTGAAGTGAAGATCTGCAAAGAAATATGCATTTTTTTCCTCCACCCAATTTGTAGGTGGCTCGCGATGAGGCCGAGAAACGTATGGCTGAGGAGCGTAGAGAGTTTGAAACAAAGTGTCGTTTCTTTGGATTAGACCCCAAAAAGACGCGTCCACAGGATGTTCCCTTCTGTGTAGACCCATCAACAGGTCAGTGGTATTCCGTAGCTAGACAACCGATACCGACCCCACCATGCTATGCACACGTACAGGTGCACCCAAAACCCAAGTCTACAGATCCAGCTGACTACAAGCTACCTACGGTTGTTTCGAGCTTGCCGCACCAATGGAAATATGCGATCACCGCACTAGGCCAAATATATTACTATCACGCTAAGCAACGAATTCCACAATGGCATCCGCCAACACCGGAGCAATTGCGTGCTGATGCCGAAGGGGCAGATAGTTCGGACAGTGAGTCCTGCGAGGAAGCCAAATTGGTGAACGAAAGCAGCGAAGAGGATGAAGTTCTGATGGGTAATAGTTAAAAAAAATCTTTTTTTTTGTCATTTTTGCACAAAATATGCTTCTGTTTTATTTTTTATTTTTTAAGGAATGGATGAAGCCCAGTTGAAGGCTTTTATTGATAAGAAAGTGGAACATCGTCGAAACAAGCGCTACAACCGTTTGGTCGATGAGCGTCCTATTAGTGTAAGTATTTAAGTCATTTAATGAATAGGAACCACTACGATACATATAACCGTGATTTACTATCACTACAACGGACCAACACTCATTGCGACAGTTTAAAAATAACAGTAGCCTTATTGACTTCTATGCCACCTAATGAAATTAACCTATATTTGCAGCCTCGCAAAGAAGAGGATCGCATTTATAATCAAATGGAGATGCGCAAATACAAAGAAAACAAGGAGAAAATACGAAAACGTAAAGAAGAAATTCGGCGCAAGCGCGCTGAAGCTCTGAAGGCAGCTGCCAGTGGCGGAATAAATCCAAGTGACATTGGAGAAAATCCAACCGCCGATAGCATTGCTACAAAATTCAAAAATGGCAATAATTCTGATGATCCAGATGGCGCGATACCAATACAAGACTATTTGTTGTCATCCGATGAAGAGGAAATAATGAAGGCAGAATGCGATAACAGTCCACTATTGGACAAAATTGTACAAGGCGACAAAATTGTCGACGAATTGGATGCACTTACCACAAAACGTGCGCTCAAGCGTCCTTTGCCTCCCCATCGTGACCTCAGCGCACAGCCAGGGCCGAGTAATGCTGCCGTTAGTAGTAGTGTTATTAGTAGTGTTAGTGCTGCTGGTGGTAGTAGTGAGCATAAACGCCGAAAATCGGATAAAAAGGAGAAGAGGTTTGTTGTTGGCAGTTTATGCTATTTGCACTTATATATAAATATATATTAAACGATCTGTAATTTAATTTTCGTTTAGCAAAAAGAGCAAGGACTCAGACTCTAAGTATCGTCGAAATAAAGAAAAGTTCCGTTGCGAAATAGCCGGGATTATTGTGCAACATTTAAAACCATATCGTAAGGAGTCATGTTCTATGGGTCGTATACAGAGCAACGAAGATTTTAACCATCTAGCACGAAAAGTTAGTGTTGGAAATGGGTTTTTCCAATTTTTTATCACGTTTATTTACTGTTTGTTAAATTTTCAATTTTACAGCTGACACATTTCGTGATGGTGAAGGAGTTGAAGTATTGTGAATCAGTTGGCCAAATTCTTGTCGTCACTGAATCTGTTAAAAATAAGTCTCGGGAGTTCATAAAAAAATATATGGCAAAATATGGCGGCTCTTATGTGCGACCCGCCAATGATCCGGAATTTAAGGATATCCCATTTACTCTTTAAATATTTGCATAGTTCTTATTTCAGCGGTTACTTGCGCCATTAAGTGGCGTCGCTGCTGGTCGATTTTTTTTTTTTATTTCTGGCAGCATGATTTCGAAACGCATTTTAACGGGGCTACGCTACTAATTGAAAAAGTTCTAATAAATGCATAAATTTTACTTCATATCTCACCAGTTTAAAATACTAATTAATGGCATAATGGTTGAATTCGGAATATTTAAAAATTTTAATATAATTTTAATAGTTAGTATTTTTTTAGTTGTAAACCAATATGTTTGTATTCCCTTTTACAGCTTGAGAATTGAGATGTATTTATAGAGAATACGGAAATATGGTTATGTTAAAATTAGTTTTCACAAAAAAAAAAGTAATATTATGTAAACGTTGCTGAAATAAGCAGCAACTTTATATGCAAAAGAGTTAATAAAAGTGGAATAATGGAAATCGTGCTCAATATGTGAAAATTTTTTATTCCATACTTAAAATGAATTTATTCATGCAATATAAAAGAGATGAGATGAGAGGCGTAACCAATTACACACTTTAAGTTAATGTTGCATAAAAACACTTTGTTGTTTTTGTTGTAACAGCAAATTTCCCAAAGAGTTTTTATTTAGTGATGCTGGAGTGACAGTCGACGCCCGAACAATGAGCGATATGTATGTATGTACAGCAAAATGTAAAACCGCGTATGTGATGTATAAATTATTTTCCTGAGAGAACACTCATTTCAAAATGGTCAAAAATTATCAGATTAAAAAAATATTTCAGGACGAATGAATAAGGATTAAGCCAAGGGCTTGTGTGAGCAAATCCAATTTTTGGCAGCAAATGTCAGTTACGCGGTTAAGCATGAATGCTACGCGTAAACGGCGATATGTAGATTTACTATAGTCTACCGATTGAGTAAATGACGCAGAATTTAAAAAAAGCAAATAAATACTTTTTATTTTCTTTTGTTGAGAATTTACTATGTCAAACTTCCATTAACTTTAACCAACTTTACCATACATTACTTCACAAAAATTGCCTTTTCTGTTAATTAGTTGCTGCAAACTAATGGTCACTTTTTCCATCGGCAGTATTGTTGCCTTCACTGGGAGGTTGCGCGCGATTAGCCTCCTCTGGCTTCATGGCGGGGAAGAATAGTACCTCCTATAAATAGAAATCAGTCGTTAAAAAACATTTAAAATTTTATGCAAAAAATCATACTTTAATATTATTGGTATCAGTAAGGAACATAGTCAGACGGTCAATGCCCAGACCCCAGCCGCCAGTTGGTGGCAGACCATACTCTAAAGCTGTACAGAAATTCTCATCGATAAGTTGCGCTTCATCGTCGCCTGCAGCTTTATCGCTAGCCTGTTGCGCAAATCTTTCACGTTGTACCATCGGATCGTTCAGCTCAGTGTAGGCATTGCACACTTCCTTCTTCATGACGAATAATTCAAAACGTTCTGTCAATCCCGGCTCACTACGGTGATATTTGGCTAGTGGCGACATAATTTGAGGATGTTCGCAGATAAAAGTAGGGTTTATGCAAGTTTCTTCAATGAATTCACCAACTAGTTTATCGAGTAAACGCGCCGTTGTACGCGGTGGAGGACATTCGATTTGATGTTTTGCGCAGAGTTGAGAGAGGAAATCAGTCGTGTTCCTACTACTAAATTCTGTAGCTGATGGAAATTTGACGCTTAATTTGTCTTCCAAAGTTTTTATCATCGAAACCCGTCTAAATGGCGGTGTAAAATCGATTTCTTCCTCTGGTCCTTCGGGTCCCTCGGGATGGTATTTAATTTTATATGTGCCATGAATGGCCTTTACCATTCCTGAAATCATTTTCTCAGTTATCTCGATGAGATCATTGAAATCAGCATACGCCATATAGAATTCACATGTTGTAAATTCTGGGTTATGCGTTAAATCGATGCCCTCATTACGAAATTGACGACCAATTTCGTATACTCGGTCCAAGCCGCCAACAACAAGCATTTTATGATATAATTCAGGTGCAACTCGCATATACAGATCCATATTTAAATCATTATGATGTGTAATAAAAGGCTTTGCAGTTGCACCACCAGCAATCATATTCATCATAGGTGTTTCAACTTCGAGGAAACCCATGCGATCCAAAAATTGTCGGACATATGAGACAATCTAAATAATGAACTTGGTTTAACAAAATGTAAAGAAACTATATTTTTGAGAATATTTACATTTGCGCGAATTTGGAAGGTTTCACGCACTTTCGGGTTCATAATCAAATCTAGGTACCTTTGCCTATAACGTGTCTCTTTATCTTTGAGACCATAATGCAAATGAGGTAACATATGCAGACATGGTGAAAGCAATTTTATCTGTAGACAAAATAAATAAGGATAAAACATAATTGTTACAGAAGTTTATACAAACCTCTTTTGGTACCACAGAAAGTTCGCCCTTCTTGGTTTTTCCAGGGTAACCCTGGATACCGATTATATCTCCGCGTCTAATCTTGGACGTGTCCGGTTCAAAAGCATTTTCGCTATGATACAACTTAGCATTTGCCATTACTTGCAGCTTAACGCCTTCCCCACGCAAATCATAGAATATTAATTTTACGCCAGATTCTCGTATCGCATGTACACGCCCAGCAACACTGAGTGAAAAAAAATAACGGTTATATCTTATCTTTTATGTATGCATATATGTACATATTTTAAATTTGGCTCACCTCAGTGAAACGTCTTCGAGCATTTCTCCTTCTTTAAGGTTCTCGTATTTTTTAATGAAATCCTCCAATGAGATACTAACGTGGAATTTATGAGGATATGGATGCGTTGCTGGTGATTTTTTCAGCTCGACCACTGCAGCTGAACGGAGTTTGAAGTATTCATTAGGTGAGATTTCCTCCTCTAGTGCAGCTGCCTTCTTTTTGGTAGCATTGCTTTCATTATTAGAACTGGCCGTCGCTGCTTTTTGTGCTTCTTTTTCTGCTTTCTCCTTAGCTTTCTGTTCGGCTTTAAGGCGTCTTTTAAGCTCACTAAAAATAAATAATTATTTTATTAGCGCTCAACTTGATAAGTACGTATTTATTTAGTTAATAGTTTTGGATTTATGAAAAATCTTTCTTTGCTGGGGCAGTCTTTTAACAAAAGAGGGATAAGTACATACATGCGCATGAACCATGCCTTTCGTTCATGGTACATATGCACATATGTACATAGTATGTAGTTCAATAAAGTTAAGCGAAATCGAGGATCAAATTTATGAATTATCTTACAGCTTTGTACGTTTACTTGGTGCTTCAAGTTGTCCTGTGGAATTGATATTTCTCCTTATACAAATCACATTCTGGACCCAAATTTTTAGTGGTCGCTCCTGAGACTTTAGAGCAATATCTCGAAATGCCACATGCACCTGACGCAATTTGGCAAAGTTATTAATTATTGAATACATTCCAATATTTATTGATAAAAAAACCCTTAACTACAACACTTTATTTCATAGTACACATATGGAGATTGAGTGTACTATTATATCCATAATTTAAACCCTAATACTTATTAAAAGTTATAACTTTTCTCATTAATTCACTTTTTCGTGGGTAATTGCAACTTGAATTTTGCATGTGTTTCAACATAACCACACATTTGAGGGTCCCTATTGAAGCCACCGAGGCAATGATTTTATTAAACCTCCAGGAAAAATGATGCTCTTTGGTACTTACTTCTTTGATAGCTCACCGGTTACCTCGGACATTTTTCTATAAACACTAGAATCACTTTTTTAAGAAGATAAATCCAAAAATAGCCAAATCCTCAATGGAAATACAACAAACCAGTGTGCTACAGAAACGTCAAGGTTCGCGGCGGAGCAATGTTGCTTCTTTTGTGCTAAATTGGTATGATGAAAAGGGTGTAAATTTATTTATTCTATTATTTATGTATATATATTATTTATTCTATTTTATAAATACTATTCATAACAAAAAAAAATTTCATTCGAGCGGAAAAACTAATTAATTATTAATTTAAAAACTCATTCAGTTTCTTTTAGTTTAATTAAAAACGCACAAATATTTCCCTTCTACAATATTCTAATTTTCCGATTTACGCTCTTTGTTTTAAATATTGATAATATTGTTCCCCTTGTGTTTTACTTCATTATAAAACAGGTTATCCTGCAACTTTGCTAATTTAACGTTTATAAAGAAAGTTTTTCCAGTGCTTGTGTGAAAAATTGAAAATAGTGCACCGAAATGTGGAGTTCAACGAATAAATTATACATATAAATTCGAATAAACATTTGCTGTACCGTCGCGTTAAATTTTTTGGCTAAATTTGCACATTACTATGAAGGGAAGATGAAAACCTGTAATAAAAGTTTCAGCAAGTTTAGTTGCGGAAGTGGCTATAGAAAGTGCGACTTAAAAAGTGAAAATCGCTGCTGTGGCTAAACAAAGAGAAGCAAAATCGGATTCTGCAACACTATCTGCCGTTTTAAAATAAATATCATTTCTGTTTTCGAATTGTGTTCAAATCAAATCTAATTAGTCCAACTAGAAAAATCTATAAATTTACATTGTAGTCAATCTGTGTGAAGAGAGTGAAGTGGGCAAGGGGAAATTATGTGCGGAACAGAACGGGTTTAAAAAGAGAAGAACAAATCTGAGACCGTGAGAAGAATACTGCGAGCAAAACAAATGGCGAAAAAAACGTGCCTTTGGAGCTTTGGAGCAGTAATTTATAAGCGACACGCTCAAAAAGTTTTTTAATACACAATACCGGCTTGGCAAAAAAGGATTTATACATTAGATTAGATTTTTTAGCACATGCTAGCCGAAGACATGGGTTATAAAGCCAACGGAGAGGGTGTCAATAACGGCAAAAGTCGTAGTGATGGTCGTGGACTGGGGGATGACGATGATGGGGTGGATGAAGAAGAGAGTAACACGTTTTATGAGGCAGTCAGTGAACCGGATCTTTGCTTAGACGCTCTTAAAATAACGAATGACGTCACGTCCGTAAACAAAATACTTACGAGTGCACCGGATGAGGAGGAAGATGCAGAAGAGGTTGAGGGTGCACGTTGTTTACCACATGTGACGGATGTTATTGACACTGAAACCGCTTCGGCTTTGAATGCTGATACATCAATTGTTATTCGCACCGTCAACAGCGCCGTTGACACCAGTTGCACTTTTTTAGATATCCAGATGAGGGAAGACGTAGCAAGTAAAGGGCCAAATATTGAGGACAAAAGTGACGCAGAGCGTCCTAAGCGAAACAAGAGTGAGTGGTTTCCATATGTATGTATGTATATCGATTTTATGATTAAATAAATTTAAATTTCTTTTCAGATTTGAAAGATCTAAACAAAATAAACCAAACAATAATGTCTGACGACCAATTTCAGAAGCAACGCCAGCAGACATTACTTACCACTAAATCTTGTGAAACTCCTGCACCTTCATCACTCTCACCAACTAATTCTCACAGTGACAGTGGTAGTATAGGTGGTGGTGCTCGCCGTAAATCTTGGACACTTTCGCCTCAAAGTGGTGACTCCACACCACAAAGCGGTGCCAAGAAAAAAATTAAATCTACAAATCTAAAATCTCCAACAGCTCCAGTATCCTCAATAACTGGTACAGAAAATCTTAACTTATGGGTTGCTCGTGAATGTTATGAAACGGTTCCTGCAGAAACGGTTTATGAAGTTGATGATGATGTTGTAACTTTAGATGATGAAGAGGCAGCGGTTGAAAGTTTACTAGGTGCAGCAGCTGCTTTTCAGCCTAGCACAGTCAATAAAGCAGTACAACGTCGGCAAAAACATTTGCGACAGCCTCAACATAGGCCCTTGGAACGGGCATGGCCTCCCAGAGCTCTTGACAAAGATTTAAATTTGCAAGGTGATGTTTTCAAATTTGATATACTCGATACAGATGAACGCATCGATGGGTATGGTAGACAAGTCTGCAGCTCCACAGATGGCTATAGCAGCGCTACAAGTAGTACGAATAATTCTCCTTTACTACTTTTAAACAACACAGCTCCTTCATCCACAAGCCCACAATATGAATTGCCTTCAGGCGGTATAACGCAGACTCCGGTTAAGTTTAAACCTTTAATTAAGAAAAAAATTGGTCCTGATAGTTATATAAACACAATTACAACCAAAAAGGTGCCTGCTTCGGAAACTTATGACTTCCCAACCTTCCCCGTAAAAGATGATACATCTGCAGCATTAGGAAACTCGTCACCAGCAAGTCAATTTCCATACATCCGACAGCATCGGCCGCTAATGCGCGCCTTGTCAAATGGGAAAGGAGCTGCACCATGTAATGCCATCAATTACGACGATTTAGCATGTGGTGCAATGAATTCGCCTCGTTTATTGCTTTCACCAAAACGACAACGCAGCCCACCCTCTGGTTGTTCGACACGCAGTGCATCTCCCTTGGATGTGAACTTAAGTCCGGAAAGAAGTTCTTCTCCTACACCACAAACTCAGTTCAAATTTGGTGTCACTGCTGGTGGTGGTGGAGGAGTACCATCCTCCCCGGCCAACCATATTCGCCCCCAACAGAGGCTGCTGAAACGGGTTGGTGGTGGTATCGGTAAGCAAAAATCTAGCATAGGCAAAGACTACTTCTATAATTTTTAATATTCAACAGGATCAAATCTGGTATGTCCACCGACACCCACCCATCATGCTCGCCGTCATCAACGCTTGCAGTCCAACGCTTCTGCATTTTTAGCACAAACTGATCAAATGCATTCTGGTACAGTGACACCATATGGGTCACCTAACAACGCGAGTAAGGGCGAGTATAACTTGGCGACCTCGCCACCTCATTCCTTTGGTGCTGGTGTAGGTGGTAGCCAAATCAATGTCACAGCGACAGAAAACAACACTTTTGACTCAGGCTTAGGGGAATCGGGCGATGTAATTGGTGCAACAAATGAAGCCTGCAGCACACGTTTGCCATCAATTCCCGAGCGTGGTGCCGCTGCTGGTTTCCTTCGAGGTAGTGGTATTTTTGCTGAAGCTGAAAACGCTACAGAGCCTTTGCCGCCTGCTTGGGAAGCACGAATGGATAGTCATGGACGTATTTTCTATATTGACCATACAACACGAACCACTTCATGGCAACGGCCTGGCACGAATGGTGGTGCAAACCTAAACGGTGCCGGTAAGTCGAGCAAGATATACATTTGCATGCATGTAAACCATACATCTTCATATTCATCTTTATTCAGTCTATGATTTACAATCTTACAGACTAGAAGTAGGCTAAAAAGTATTAACGGTGACAATTACGAAAATAGGTTTCAAGAGATGATTTTAAAAGACTTCTTGGAAACGAAAAGTCCATATCTAAGCTCTTTGAGATATTGTTAAATTCCCCAAGGCCTCGAAAAATAGGCGCAAAAGATGAGTAGTTAGTCTTAACGGCAGGAACGTAAAAGGGGATGTGAGAGCGATATATTTAAGTAAACTATATTCACATAAATGGTGGCTATATGTACTACAAACGCCTTCACTGCGAGTTTGATTGTTATTTAATTAAAGCCAAACATGTGATCAAAGTTTTGAATTGATTAGTAAAATTGTTCTCTACTGTGTTGCAAAATAAATTATAGTACACTTCATTATTACGCAAATAATTGGTATCGAAAATCCGGATATCCGGTTAAATAATTTCCGTTCATTTTGTTATCCAGATATTAGAATTTTTTAATCATTTTGGACCGACGTCCAAATCCAGTCCAAAATACGTCAATATTTAATATTGGTTTTCCATTGTTCACATTTCTAGGACGTGAACACCATCATCGACAACAATTGGACCGACGTTATCAGTCCATTCGACGTACCATTACCAGCGAAAATCGGCTCTCGAATGCTTCTGGCTATAGTGCGAACGATAGTTCCGTTTGTAATAACACTGCCAATCAACTTGCAAACACAATGCACAACAATCAAAATACCTCTAGTAATAATAATTTAGGCCATCTACAAATGCTCAATATTTCGGTACATCCAGCTGTTATAATGCTCTGTCGTCCAGACTTCTACTCTATGCTGCACACTAACGAAGATGCTTTATCAATTTATAATCGCAATCCTGCACTTAAACATATGATTATACGTATACGCCGTGATCCGCAGTGTTTTCAACGTTACCAATACAACAAGGATTTAGTCGCATTAGTAAATACATTCGCACAGCTTAATCGAGACTTACCTTCATGCTGGGAGACCAAACTCGATCAATCCGGAAAACAATTCTTCATCGATCATAATAATCGTAAAACATCATTCATGGATCCACGCTTGCCAATAGAAAGTGCACGTATAATACGCCAACGGCATCAACATCCTCCTCATCAGTCACCACAATTACCGGCTCATCTTTCACATGCGCATCAGCCACACTCACATCAACGTCAACAGTACCAGCACCAACAAAATTCTCATTACGACGTTTTCGATGGCAATTGCATGTCTTCCTCTGGTGTCCCACCACTGCCACCCCCAAGACCGGTAAGCAGCATGCGTGGTCCAAATGGGGCAATAGGTGGCGCCAGTGGTGGTGCTGCTGGCGGTGTTGGTAATTACGAGCAGTACAACGAGGTACCTGTTGCATACAATGAAAAGGTAAATATTTACTACTAAACTTTGCAGTTTATCATACCCTGATTTCCTATTATTTTGCAGGTTATAGCGTTTTTGCGTCAACCCAACATTTTGGAAATCTTGCGTGAACGACATGGACAGAATACAGTTTCACGTTCATTGCGCGAGAAGATCAATATTCTACGGGTGGAAGGTGTGCCAGCTTTGGAGAGATTAGGTCACGATTTGCAGCTGACCATCCTACTGAGGTTAGTGGCTCTCGTTGTTGATCTATCTTTTGTTGACCTTTCCTTTCCATATGGCTAAAGTATGGGTTAACCCAGCAGACAACTTGTAACTGCTTCCTACTAAAAATGGAAGCGATAGGTCGATTTATTTAGATTCAAAGTTCATGCAATCTTTGCCCTTATCTGTTTATAAGTAATCAACGGTGTTCTTTAGCTACTTTGATACAGTCACTAACCCCCTATTCTAACAAAGCTACGAAACTCAGCGCATCACTATCGTGTGTTTTTACTGCGCCTGACAATATGCCACAAAAATTCGATTTTAAGTGCTAAGGAAATGCACACAAAATTGTTATTATTATTTTCTTTTTGTAGCGGTATATTTGCCGTATAAGCGTACTTTGAAGCGCAGTAGAAATCAAAATAGTGATGTGCTTAGTTTTGTGACTTTGTTAGAATAGGGGGTAAATTATACTTAAATTTACGCAAAAAATTCCAAATTATTTGAAAAACTACAAATTTTAAAATCTGATTAAAAGCAGACTACAAAAAATAACGTTAGGAAATGTATCATCAAAAAAGTTTTTTCGAATGGCGGAATGGTAAAATCGTCGTGGCCACCCTGTGCATGCATTGCCCTTGCATAGCCACACTGCATTCCTTCATTTAACATCCGCCTGAAATTATGCCAAATGTCGGTCGGCTAGTTAGAAAAAGTTCGCATTCGCTCATGCAAGTGATTCACATCAATTTAATGTTTTGCGAATGCGAATGTTCAACAATTTCTGCTAAAAGTTTGTCAACTTGAGAAACACGTCTTATTTTCATACAAAAAAAGCCCTTATTTTTGAGAACGCCGTGATTTTCCACTTGAGCTTCTGTTGAGAAAAAACGTGACAGATTTATGAAATCGCTTAGTTCTCAACTGAACCTCAAGCTGAGCGCATATCTAAATGTTTGTTGGGATGGAACTATGGAGACGATACTTCGTGGCGATAGATAGACGAATTCGAATTCGTAAGAGAGACACCCATTGTTAGCAATTTTAGTTTTTCCATTTTTCGAATCGTTGGAGATTTTAGAATTTGTATTTATCGAGAATTGTTGGCGTTGTTGTAGTATTTGCTCATGACGCAATAATACAAGGTGGTATAAGTTGTGACAGCTCGATTTGACACTGTCTTAGCTAAGTATAATAAGAAGAAAAACGGGAAGAAATTAATTCCCATTTGGGGGAAAAATATAAAAGTTCATATTTTCTTCTAAACAAAATTTGTTTTTTTTTTATAGTATATTCGTAATGAAATAAAATAAAATAAGATAAAATATCTTTTTAAGAAAACAAAATGTGTAGTCTGAGAAAACATAAGAAACATTCAAATATACATATTATTAGGCAAAGAATTGTTAAAGAATTAACACTGTTTCACCTAAGGCAGTCAATATGGCTGAATTAGAGCGAGAAGCTGCCAACCGATAACACCTTGTATTATTGCATCATTAAGGGCCAGTTTTTCAGTGCACGGCCGTGGTTTTAACTAAGCTTAAACGCCCGATCTGGCTGGTTTAAACTAAGATCAGCCAATCAAATGTCAGTCAGCTGTTCAATTTAAACTCAGTTTAAACTGACACTGAAAAACTGGCCCTAAGAGAATTCCACAACGCGAATTTTATAACCGTCCACAACTTTTCATTGCATAGTTTTAGGGATGTACATCACAGTAGTGTAATGATAAAATGGGAAGGCCGAAAATTTTACTTGGGGTTTTTTTTAATGTAGATCCCGGTATGAGGAAAATTTGCATAAACCATCCCGCATAATCCAAAGTGAATTCGGGCTAGTTCGGGATCATTTCGGGACTAATTCAGGAGTTTTGCACGATCACTTCGTAACTAGTTCAGGACTTTGACGCGTCTAGTTCGAGCCCAGCTCGGGACTTTCGGGTATAGTTCAGAACTTTTTCGGGACTAGCTCGGGTATAGCTCAAGACTAGTTCGCGATACAGATGTTTACATATAAAACATCATAAGTACCTCGTACTAACTTGTTGATGTACCAGCAAAGCTGTTATCTATATATCAAAATAAAAGAATTGAGTGATGGCTAGTTGAAATTCTGTGTCGTTCCGGTTGTTTAGATCCGACTGTACTGGGTTCGTTATTCGATATTTTTCAATACCCCACGCGAACAGCCCTAAGTCTTTCGTAGAATAGTTCTCCCAAAAATTCTTAGTCTTCTCATTTTTGAAAAGCGTTGACAACTGTGCCCTCAGAATCTAAAGTGTACCCCGGGCGTTTAAAATTTTTCGATTCGCATTCGGGCCTCTCAGTTTCTCAAGGTCTTTAGACTCGAGCCTTTTTGTAACTAAATTTTTTACTTTTTAAACATATGTCTTTCCTTTCTCCTTACCTGACGGTATCACGTATACCCGAATAAGAAATATCTGCCCTTATTGCAACTATTATAGAGGATATGGTTATTCCAGGTGAAAACCCTATCTCTAGTTCAGCACATTTTCTTTTTTATGTATATGAGGCGGGTTCCACGAACAGCGCGAAACCAAATGCTGAGAGAGTTCTAGAAAGACATGCTATTTGCTCCGGCAAATGATCGCTTGCAGTTATTGTGACTGTAGTGGATATTTAGCCCTGCCTAACATCGGATAGTCCTTCAATCGTTGTCGTCAATCTCAACTAACGGTAGTTCCCGGAAACATACTGCTTCGACTGGGTCGGATCAGATGGAGAGGGATCTTAGTTAAGTTGGGTTGAGTGTGAATGTGAAGAGGTGGTTGGTGCCATGATTAGAAGATTGACATGCCGGACATAGGCTGGGTATGCCGGGGTTTACTTTGGACAAATAGGAGTTTAAATTACTACTATATTCAGAACGCAATTTGAGCAAGAGTTACTGCGGTCTCTCTCGGCAGTTGAAGCTCACTTCCTTCTACAGGCGGTATTGTACTCTAGTGAATGCTATTTATTGCCTGTCTATACAGTGGCGGGGCCAGTGATTGTTGCGTATGTATCTTGCTGGTCCTTTAGTTCGCAGATATGTCTTCTGTGGTGCCGAGGTAAAGGTTTCGCCTCCAGCAAGTCCCTGTTCGGGTTTATACCGTCACTAGACACGAATAAGGGCGCGAGCTCAAAACCGCAAAAAGACACACAAAAAAAAACTTCAACGAAGAAAGACGCGTGAACTTATTTTCGTGGTCAAAAAAAGAAAGAGAAAACTGCTCGCATGTGAAACGATTATTCGTTAGATTTCTTCAGGAGCCCTATGTAAAATGATGAATAGTTATTGAATTCGCACATAAACGTTTTTTATTACTAAGCGTATGTGGGGGAAAATCTTTTGAGATGGTGACATTTTGCGTACTGGCATATTGTTGCCGCCACAAAGCAGCTGTACTGCCAAGTGCGATTTCTATACCTTCGTTAATACTACTTATATGTATGTGTAAATACCAGTAAACAGTTATTCATAACGAATTCACGGTTTAAATGACGAATTTATTTGATAAAATCGAAAAAATCGGGAAATCACAAAATCTACTTTTCATTAAGGTATAACTTCATGGGCGATCTGATGAAATTTTGCACACTAGTGTCATTTAGTTCAACATAAATTATAGGATAGCTTTTATCTCAATTAGCCAAAGAGGCGTGGCACCTACCATCCAAATGGAATTTTTCATACTGCGTACCTCTGGAAGTATTTGTGGTAGAGTACTGGAACTTGGCATGGAGAAATATGAAATCAATACATTACTCATGGAAAAAATGTGGGTTCTTGGAAAAGGCCCCGTGGCACCTCCCATACACACTGAATTTTTCATACCACCACCTGTTAAAAAATTAACTTCAATTCAAAGTATTTTATAACTTAAATGAATTACTACAAAATGGATGTCGATCTAGTCGTTATATCCCAGTAGCCAGTTTCTGTAACTTTTCTCTACCGATTATTTCTCTACTGGTAGAGAATATACGTCACTCTCTACTACTCATTAGCAGTAGAGAACAGGGCGGCGAATTCATATCTTAATTCGCCTTGGTAGAGAATTGTTATAGAAACGAGCTACAGAAATGGTGATTCTTAGGAAGAAAAGTGTCATAACGATTTTTAGAGATAATTGCATGATCTACACTTTTGTCTAACCTATTTTTAAGATAAACCTTACCGCTTAGCTGAAAAATGCTAAAAATCAATTTATGTGACCTTTGACCTTCAATAATTTTTTTACAGTTCTGGGATCGATGAGGACTTTTCACATTTCATTTATAATGAAGTTCTTAACATTCCTACCAATTTTCAGCTTTGTGCAAATTATTGCAACCTTGAAAATCTAACTTCACCGGGCCAATAGGAAACAATTTTAAAGATATAGTTTAAATAGAGTAGCAATTAAAAAAATATTAGTTACACGGGTTATAATGTACTTGAATTAGGTTGACAAGTGATAAATTATGGGGGAAAAACTGTGCTACTATTTTGAAAAAAGAAAAAAAAAAATTATTGAAAAAACTCCATCTCAAAAGATTAGTTAACAGAAAGGCTTCTTACTGGTTAGATGTTGCGTGTTGTTAGGGGCGTCTGCTATTATTTTGGAGATTTGTTCCTCCCTCAGGTCATTTACCACAGCAATAATAAAATAAAAACACAAACTTTATGCAAAATAAGTTACTTACAAAAATATTTCCCACGATTCTTTGTCAACTGAATAAATTAATCTAAAGATTAACAAATAAGTTCGTATTTATTTCATTCCGTTGTTGCAATGTATTTACACGCCCACATTTTTTTCACTCAATTAATTTGTTATCTATTGAAATATTACAATATTGTGGAATAACCACAAAGTAAGTCTCAAAGCTTTGACTACGTACATAAGAACACATAGTATGTATGTATGTATGTATATGTATACGTATAGGAACTTCCTGTTCGCCACAATTCACACTGTTTTGCGATTTTCGCTATCGGTTAATGTTAATAACCGCACCAATTCAAGAGCAAG